ATATTGACAAAGTTTCATATTTTATTGATAAAATCATCATGAAAAATAATACGGGATTTGTTGACCAAACCTTGAACGTTAATGGTGTTCCAATATGGGCATTAATATTCTACTTGTTAAGAAGTGGTTTATATAATGATGCTTTAGAATTGGCATCACAAAACAAAGATCTCTTTAATAAATTTGACAAGAACTTCCCAATTTATATAAAGAAATATGTCGAAAATAATTGTATTAACCTACCAATGGAATTGAATGAAAGGTTGAATGCTGAATTTAATCAACAATTTGCATTTATTAACGATGACTTGAAGGGTAACTTTGATCCGTTCAAATATTCCGTATATAAACTCATTGGAAAATGTGACTTATCGAAGAAAAAATTGCCTAATGAAATTAATTTAAGTATTGAGGATTGGCTTTGGTTTCACTTATCTATAATTAATGAATTCAGCTTTGATTTGAATTCGTCAAGCTTAATTTTTGAAAATTATACGTTAGAGAACTTGCAAAAGAAAGTTATTCAATTAGGGCCTAAAAAGTTCAATTCATCCTCCAATAACCCCTTATATTTAAAGACTTTAATAATGGTCGGATTATACGAATTGGCGGTTGAATATACATTTGAACTGATAAATGAGTGTGATGCTGTTCACTTGGCAATCGGATTGTGCTATTATGGCTTATTGAAAGTTTCAAGTTTCAATAATAAAGACGAATTAATTTTTATAAACTCATCAAATGAATATGAAATTAATTTCAGCAGATTATTAGGTTCATACACAAGGTTTTTCAAGATCAGTGATCCAAAGGTTGCTTGCCAATATCTCATCTTAATTGCGATGTCAAAAGGTGGGGACTCAAAAGAAGAGATTTCCAAATGTCATGAAGCATTAAGAGAACTTATTTTAATTTCAAGAGAATTCAACATGTTATTGGGCGAATTAAACCAAAATAATGGGAACAAAATACCTGGTATTTTGGAAAAGCAAAGATCTTTAATTAATTTATCTAATTTGGAACAATTTCAAAAACAAATCATAGAAACATCGGCTATTAGATGTGAAGAAGAAGGCAGAATATTTGATGCATTATTATTGTATCAATTATGCCAAGATTTCGATACAGTTGTTTCATTAATCAACAAATTGTTAGGCGAAACTTTATCAACCACTGAATTAGATAAACCATTAATTAATTACGGGAATTACGAAAATATCAATGGTGAAATACAATCAGAAAATACTATAGATAATAATATTATTTTGTTATCTCAGCATATTATGAAACTTTTTTACAATAATAGTTTTATTTTGGATAGAATCAGTCCTTCGAAAAAGGAGACTTGCGATCTATTATTACCAATTATTCATATCCGAGACTTATTTATGAATAAGAATTGGAACGATGTTATAATTGAAATTAATAAATTGGGATTGTTACCTGTTAATAAATCTAATGGATTAATTGAAATCAGAAAAATGGCTGAATTCATTCATAACACTTTGGATGACAATTTGATCAAAGTTATTCCATCTTTATTGATAATGGTTATGACTTCTGTTTCACAATTGAATTATTCTATTTTAACAAAACGTTACCAAACATCAAGTAATGAAAGAGAAGAATTGTCTAACTTAAAGGCCATTGCGAAGAATTGTATGATTTATGCTGGTATGGTACAATACAAAATGCCGAGAGAAACGTATAGTTTACTTATTTCGTTAGAATCACTGTTGTAATTATATATTTAGACATGAATAAATTTTGTATATTATCATAAATTGTGCGCTCGTAAAAATTGAAGTATTCGATTAAAAGAAACCCATCTTTTGTTGCAAGATGCCGCCAAAAAAATCTAAGAATGATTCTAAGGTGCCTAAAACAGACTCTAAACAGTTAAAGAAATACAATTTTCATGATAACTTTAACAATTTACTGACTAATTTTTCAAAACAATTCTTCAAACCCCAACCAGAAACTTTAATTAGAGATCAAATAGTTGTAATAGAAAAGTTCTTCAGTACTGAACTCTGCAATGAATTAATCAAGTCATTTGAAAGCTCATCTGAATTGAGGATGGAAACAACCCCTTTAATTAAAAGCAAAGATTACGCCGCTAGGTTTAATGACAGGGGTTTTAGTGTTGATTTTGCTGCTTCAAGAAACTTGTGGTCATATTTACAAAAGATATTATTACAAGAATCTGAATACGAAGATGATGATGAAGATGGTATAAGGCTGGTATTCAATGATGCAATAGGTCTAAATTCACAATTAAGAATATATAGGTATAGGAAAGGGCACCATTTTGGAAAGCACTATGATGAATCCGTGATCTGTCCTTTATCGGAAGATAAAAGTAATCAAAAAGGAATTACAAAATGGACATTGCTCATATATTTAACAGGAGACGACGAGTTTAGAGGTGGAGGTACAATATTTTATCCCGACTACTCTAGTTCTGAACATTTAAACATTCATCCTAGTAAAGGAATGGCGTTGTTGCACAAACATGGTGATGACTGTTTAAAACATGAAGCAGAGATTGTTAAAGACGGTACTAAATGGGTTTTAAGAAGCGACGTAATCTATCCATTATAATTTTTTCTATATACCTATCCTAATGACTTTTTCCTAAAAAACTCTCGAGTTTCATCTACTACTTGATTAAACTCGGTGCATCTGCTTCGAGTAAATAACTTCTGTTTGACCCAACCACTCAATTTATCCTGGTTTTTATTCAACCCATACCTTTGGTCAAATAAATAAATAACTGAATAATCATTCTTATGTCTGATACTTCTGCCAATACTTTGATTAACAGCTCTCATACAAATATTTTCATAGAAATTTTTAGCATTTTCCATCGCTTGTGATTTCGTACCTCCTTTGGCTATTGTTGATTCTTCAATGAATTTTCTTTTGGCAATTAATTCAGCAGAGAATATATTGGGGAATGGCAATCCAATCATTATCACGGCTCTTGCTAATTCATCGGAAAAATTAATACCTTCAGACATCTTACCACCCACAACTGAAAACAACAAGGCACCTTGATTTTCCGATTTATTTACTTTTGAATAGTCATTAAGAACTGTCTCGACCTTAGAAGAATCTTCCGGTTCTTGAAATATTACTTTTAGTTTGCTTATAGATTCAATTATCTTCGTTTGTTTCCATACATTCATAACAGCATTTAGATATTTATAACTTGGAAAAAATATAACAATTCCATCTGGTGTCACCTCTGTGATTTTCAAAATAGCATTACCTAGTTCAATTAACATTTTACTATTGTTCCTTTTATCGAACAGAAATTCAAATGAAACATTATTGTAATTACCTATAGGGAAAACCTTTAAATTTTCCAGGGGTATAATATGACCACAGCTAAACATTTTTATTTGCTCGGATGGTACGTACGGAAACAAATAGTCAGTGTAATCATTCATAGGTTCCATTGTGCCTCCACATAGCAAGACACATCTAGCCCTTTTCACTATATCTCTGAAAATCTCGCTTGGATCCAATAACATGTAGTTAATAGAAACCGTACCATTATTTTTATCCCAGAAAACTTTGCCTTCTTTCGACGGATTTGTCAAGCTTTTTAAAAACTTGGTTATTTTAAATAAAAGCGGGTTTGATTTACTTCTTGTGGACTGCGACTCATTAACTTTTTCCATATAGCTTTCAATCTTATAAGCAATCTTGGATTTGTTTAAGAATTGCTCTATCTTGTGAATATTTACAAGATCCCCAGTGGTACCTTCAAAAATATCGCTTATGATAATCTCTTCGCCATGCTTGATCTTTCCATCCTTCGAATTGGAGGAAATGAACTTATCCAAAACCTGGCATAATTTTATTAATTTCATTATATTTATTCTATTCCCACTGTTCAATTTTTTGATGAATTTATTCAAGTAAAATTTCAAAGATTTTGTGATATCTGAGAGTTCATTTCCAGTAATAGAAACTGAATACATAGAACTAATAACATCCAACAAATTATGAGCTTCATCAATAATTATAATAGAATCATCTAAGTTTAAGTTAAGTGCCAGTCTAGTAGAATCTTGGAGTAACATTTGATATGGCAATGCTATGATCTCGGTAATATCGATCCCTTTTCTAACCGAATAGTAAGGGCATATTTTCAAATTATTACCCAATTTTCCCAAGTCTTCAATATCATGAATTTTTGTAAAGCTGAGATCAGAAAACTTCTTGACTAGCTCTTCCGATTGAGTATTGTGGAGCTTTGGGATATATTCACAACTATTTGTTGTACTTTGTTGCAAGTCGATGCACGCATCGTTAATACTTGAAACGTTAGAAAGCCTTGAAATCTTAGGATGTATGCATAATTGCTTTCTTGATGCTAAAGGAGAAAACTTTATTCTTTCTGGAATATTATCTAATGATGTTTCAAACTCTGTCATATTCAATTGATGAGAAAATTGGCTCAACTGAGAATGAGTTCTCGAGGAAAAGAAAATCTTGACGGGACAATTATTTACTGGCTCAATTGTTTCTTTGGGGCCTTCCACCCGGGATAATAGCTCATTTATCTCTGAAGCTAATTTATCGTTCTCATATTTCGAATCCAACTCAGAATCACTATAATAATCTGCCGGCACAAAACTTTCATCCTGCTCCTGTTCAGACTTGTGTCTCTTTATCCTCTTTTCTGGTAATTCAGTCACTTTTGAACCATCATAGTTTTTCAGTAAACCATCTAAGTACGTCTCATATTCTTGGGCCGGTATTTTTGACCTATTTGCAATAGTCTTTTGGTAAGCCTCTTTAACCCACTCTGGCTCGTCCTCAGAGTCGGATTCCTCAGCTTCATGAAATGTCGAATTCTTCTTGTGTTGACGTAGCCATGTCATTGACGAACAAATTAAAGACAACGTTTTACCTGTTCCAGTTGGACTCTCAAATAATCCAATTTTATAATTATCAATTGCATCATAAATTGCATCCATTAACTGAATTTGAATATCATACGGTTCAAACGGGTGATTATATTTCCTCGGGTTATTACTGACATTTTTCCCTTCTGAATTACCCATCAGTAGCTACTCTTATTCTAATAGCTTAGCATAGACTTAAACACTTCTTGATAGAAGATGAGTATATAATCATGTGACCATATTTCAAATAGCTACTACAAGAATAGATATACTACCAAGGTTACACTAATCAGCATTAGTAAGTTCTAGTTGTGTATTAATAGTATTTAAGTTCTAATTAAGTTATGCATTCGAAACTTGGAGAATTTTGTAGTAATAAGATTAAAATTATATAGCATATTTACTAAAATATTCACGAAACAAACTTGACTTTAAAGCTTGCAGGTGGTGTTAAGCATCTTCTTGAAGTTCTCAACACCTTCCAAATTAGTGCATGAGCCCCCACATGCCACTACAACAATTATATCGTCAGGAGATAAGTTAGCGTAATGCTTTGTCAAAAGATCCATTCTATTGTATACTAATGATAATGCAGTACCGCAAGCTGGCTCAACAACAACTCCGGTGTTGTTATAAAAATCAATTAAGCCTTGAATGGCATCTAAGTCGTCGATCGAATCAACGTTAGTCTTAAATTTAGAATTATAGTAGTTGTCTAAACTTTGTTCAGACAAGTATGAGCATGCGAGTGAGGTGGCTAATGAGTTGACCGAGTCTAGTGTGAAGACTTCTCCAGCTTTTATCGTTTCCAACAAAGTTGGAGCCTGGTTGGTTTCAACAAGCATCAAGCTTGTGTCTTTGTTTGTTCTGTTTTGTTCAAGGCCTTTCATAATCCCGTTATAAAGACCACCTCCGCCAACAGAACACACAATACTTTTGATCTTTTGTGAGTCGCCATAGGATAATTGTTCCTGATAGATTTCGTCCACTAATGACGAATGGCCTTCCCATATTAATGGATTATCAAATGGGTGACAGTAAATTGGGTAAATGTTCAAATCTATGTTTCTCATCATATTCTTCAAGTAACCATCGGCTTCGTTAATATTCTTTCCGTGCATGATAGTCTTGGCCCCATAGCTTTGTAATTTCTTAATGATTTCTGGCTTCGAAGTAGTTGGTAAAACCACGGTACATCCTATCCTAAAATAACGGGCCAGGTATGCAGCTGCCAACCCGGCATTTCCTCCACTTGACGCAAACACGTAGAGAGTTTTATCAATTTTTTCTTTTTTGGCCTTTTGGATCAGTCTATAAATTAAGTTGGAAATGCCCCTCAACTTGAAACTGCCACAAGGTTGCTCGTACTCATTCTTTAAGAAAATACGACATGGTGGTTTATTTGGCAAGTTCTTAGTGACCTCCACCAAAGTGGTCTTGATAAATGGCTGCGAATCACGTAATTCTTCAATTGGTAATGACATGTCTAATTCTGTGTGTATCAATCTATTTGAATCTAACTGTTGAAGTATATTAGAACCTATTTTGTTGAATTAGAGTACTCTTGCCTCCTTTTTTCCCTTCAATATATGGACTCTAGTCTCCTTATATACTAGGGAAGAGTTTTATGTGTTATGGCTGCAACTGTTTGACTCGGCCACAGAAGCAACGGTATCTGACTCGGATTCTTGACTCGCAAATAACTCGGTGCTCCATTTTGCCAGTTAAGAATATCAACACATCCCTACACCCATATATTATTAATGCGGCAAATGGTTGGGAACGTACTCCGACAGAGATATATATAGAATCGGTTATACAGAGCCGTTAGCGTTGTTACAGGTATAGGGTTCCAGAGTGAAAAGATGAAATTTGTTACTCAGGATGCATAACCTGCGATGGCCTGGCGTATGGAGGAAGAATTCTAACCTAATCATAGTTTAGAATGTATTTAAATGTCAAAAAGACCTTTAAATAGAGAAAAACTACGCTTGCGGTTCGGAGGTCGGAAGCAAATATAATTAGTATTTGATATATTTCATGGTGGAGACATGAGGAGAGTCTGACTTTGATGGGGTTTTACAATATTCGGCAAGGACAATTGAAATCGTCGCAAAGCTCATCCAAATGCCGCAGTTGATGGAGTTGGCTTTCCACAGAAAAAATGTTTGACAGTCTGACATATAGGAGAAAACTTCCGGGCAGGAACAGGGTTTATAGAGAAGTATCATGACAGGCGATGAAGGCTAGGAAGAAGGACGGATTCAAATGAGGAATGTCTAGTAAATATCAATTGTAGTAACATAGTGGTTAGCTCGAGAAGTGAATCGGAGTCGGTCTTCAATTTTGCGGGAATATACCCTTTGTGTGTGTGGCCATGTTTTGTGAGAATCTTGACTCGTTGCGCCTTCCTTTTGGTTCCAGAGTTAGTATAACTGGAATTCACGGATGGCTTTAGATTTTATGAAAGGAGGAGTGCCTTGTGACAATTCCCTTCCAAAGAATCTACCTAGAAGTGATTGAAATATGTTTATGCATTCATACTATAGCGTACATGATACTAAATGAAGATTTATAAGTCATTTATAAACACTTTACATTCGTTCCAATTTTGGAGGTTGTCCTTAAATAATTGCTTACCGTTTTTGATAAACTCCAACATTATAACTAACCATTTCTTTTCGACTCTAACCAAAAAGTCGTTGAAGTTCAAGTTCAACTCCAGAGTGAGTGTTGACATATCGGTATTAGTCAAATCAATGAGCTGATCCAACTTCGTCAATTCCTTTTCTATCTGGCTAATCTTATGTTGATAATGACTATTGATATCTGCATGTGTATGTTCGAGGTTTGCAGATGAGTTAACGGGGTAACTCATATTCTCTTCGTTAATGAGAGATGTTCTTGCTTGTATATTCCCGTTTCCCTCTGTCATCAAACGACCAGACATGTCTTCATTTAGAGTGAATGTAGGTTTGCTGTTACCTCCAAATAAACCATACCAACTTTTCTTGGATGATAACTTACGATTCTTCAACCTCTTTTGATTCAATTCTATTTTCTTGATGGCTTCATTGATACTTGGACTGTCGATATCTAGGTTTCGTAAATCCTGTAATTTCAGCTGAGATTCAAAATTATTTGAAATGTTTGCAAGCTCTTGGTATTTATTAAACTTAAGCTTGTATACTAGCTTGTACTGGATTATCTTGAACTTATAAAATTTGATCAACTGTAGGGACGTCAAATAGTACTGTACTAGTTGACTTATTGGCTCTTGCCATTCGGGTATTATATCATTCATCAAGAAGGCTTCGTACCCGAGAAAGTTAGAGTCTATGGTTGACCCAAATTTTTCTATCAATGAGCTTAGTTCATTCGATTCTGTGTTCAATTCATGAATTTGTAAGGAAAAGTTATTTAAATTACCGCCTAGCTCAACTAGCGTGTGTATGATAGATTTGAAATTCTTGACTGATCTGGAATTTAATTTATTTAATTCCGTTAACACTTTAATATTCTGATGGAAATTCTTTTCAAAGTCTATCAAGCTGATGGGTATCTCTGTGAATAGATTAGTTGCAGGTTCGACGGTGCGTCGCTTATCATTTTGCTCCTTTCTGAGCTCAAAAACATGCACTTGTTCATTTAGCTTATGCAAATCTTCGTTCAACTTGTGAAGCGAACTTATGTTATCAATGTTCGAGTTCAATTCAAACCCATTTACTATAGGTAGTAACGAATACAACCCATTCTGATCTGTGGGATTCACTGGATTCGCCAATAACAAATTGTTGGGGATCAAACTAACCGGTGGTTCGTTGATGGCATTATTCCAGCAAAGTTCGTAATTGGGATCTAAAAACTTATGCACAAGCACACAACTTTTCAATGCTGCATTGGAATCAAATATTATATCCTTTAAAAAATTGGCAAAGCAACGCTTCCTGGTCTCTATGATATTGAGTTCCTTCGAATTATCGATCGAATTTATCAAGTACGTGAATAATGTGTGTTTCTCTGGAATAGGTGGGATGACCAACGTAGGGAATAATATCTGTAAGCTATCTCTCAAAGACTTGAACTCACTATATCTCCGCTTCACAATCATGCGATTATCGTCGCCGCTCGATAATTCGATTGAATAAACAACGACCGATGAGTTAATCATTCTTTCACTGG